CATGCCTATCCACCAAGGTAAAAAAACTATTAAATGAACTTCCCAACGTTTGCGTTGCACGGAAGGGATGAGGTGTGTGGCCTGACCATTCCCATGAAAAATAATGGGAAGACGATTTCTATTTCTTTCTTTTTTTTATTAAAACAAGTGGTTAGGTTCACGCACGTCAAAGCCACTTGATGTTATTTCTATCGTTTTACCACAACCATACTCTTCACTTGTAAAATTCAATGCAATCCTGAGGGCAGGGAGCTGAGTGACCTCTTTTGCTCTTGTGCCACATCAGCACAAGCAGGTCAAGGCCTTTGTACTTTGAAAGCAGAATGATGGATTGCACTGGAGTGAAATTGTACAGTCACCACATTTTGCACTATCGATCAATCACTCCTGTACCATAAAATTCAATGCCCTCTCCCTCTGTGCTTCACACTCTGCCTTCCTCCACTCGTGTCTGATCCCAAACCAGGATATCTCGATCCAAATTGCAGCAGTGCTCCCAGCACTGCCAACAGAGAGCACAAAATCTTATGCACTTGTCAAAACTTTGTTTCAACTGAAGCATTCCTTCCAAGTCTGCTGGAAAAAAAATCAACTGTATCAGGTATCTTCGTCTGATTTTCCTTTCCTTCATGTAAATGGCAAGTGCCAAATATATACATATTTTTAACAAAATAAAAGCCAAATAACACTTGGAGCCAGGGGTCTTCAACCAGTCGATTACCACTAGGTGGCACTGTCACGCTCGGTCAAAAAGACGCGAGGATAGAGCGATAGAACCTGTATCGTTATCGAGTCAAATTGAAATCGAAGCCAGATGCACAAAGTATTTCATACAACTGGAAATAAAAATATATACTTTTATGTTAAAACTGCCGTAAATATCTCTCTCGCCACCTAGCAGCGAACGACTGATTGGCTTAGTGGATGGAAATTCCTGATCTCCAGCCAAAAGGCAGCCTGCGTGAGGCCAGGCTGAGTCTAAGCTAACACTTCAGTGCACTGCTGCGGGTGAGGTGCATTTTCGGGGGATGACGTTCTTTGGATGACGTTAAACCGAGGTCCCGTCTGCCTGTTCAGGCGAATGTTAAAGATCCCCGGCGCTATTCAAAAGAAAAAGGAGTTTCTCCTGGTGTTCTGTCAATCCACTGTGAAGCGCTTTGAGACGTCTCAACAACTGGATAAGGCACCATATCAAATGCAAGGTTTATTATTATCTTCTTCTCACAACTTGCATACTATTGGTGTATACAGTAGCGATGATGAAAATCATCATCATTGCCAAAATGTCCCGACGGTTCACTTGGTAAAGCAACTACCCGTTCTGGAAGAGTTCCATACAGACCCTGAAAGGTTCAATTTCCAGTCTATGCTGACAGTGCTGCTCACAACTGGGAATGCAATAAGCCTCAGCTTCTCTGAACTTGGGAGAGGGAGTGAGTGGGTGCGGGGAGTGAAGAGGTAAAAAAAAAAATCTAAATTTCTAATCATCAAACTCTGTTGGAAAGTGTGGAGAACTGCCATCCCGCAATGAAAATCAGTGACTAGTTACACACATCAACAACAAGATTCCATTTATAGAGCGCCTTTCACGTCGGGAGGACGTCCCAAGGCGCTGGACAGTTGGGTCAGGACCCGAGCAGGGGGGAAATGGTCAGGGTGAGGGGAGGGAAGGGAGGGAGCGAGGAGGGGGTAGAGAGAGGAATGATCTCTTTCGCAAAATATAAGAAGGAAACCAGCATCCCACAAATAATAAAAATCCTTGCATTTGATATAGCGCTTTTCAAGAATATACTGTAAAGTGAATTGACTGTATATTTGTGGGCGAACGCAGCAGCCAATTGCGCACAGCAATGTCCCACAAACAGTTGTAGATTGAAAATGACCAATTTATTATTGTTTTTTGTTTTGGAGGGATTATTATTAGGCTCTGTGTGGAGTAAGGAAACTTGCCCAAGGTTTCGCCCTGCCTGGAATTGAACTCGGGTCTCTTGCTTGCAAAGCTTAACCCAGCGTGAGAGAGCACCTTTGGTTTGGGCGGGGAAGAAAGAGACGTTTCAAAAATCATTCAAGTGCCAAGCAAGTTTGCCCTCGAGAGGGGAGAAAGTGATGAGGTGGAAATTTCTCTGATTTTACAGATGTAGAAAAGAAAATGGCTATTTTTAGCTATCGACATGGTAGATCCCCTTGAGATCACCAACCTCATTTTTACATCTATCTGTAGCTTCTCTTCACCCCACCTGTATAAGCTGTGTGGTTTTAGCTGGTTAGACTCCAGCTGTACCCAAACACACACTCTGGGGACCCCCAAGGTTTGGCTCTCGCCAACCTGAGTCTAATGCTTTCTGCAAGCAGGTAAGCAGGATGTGTCCCTCCAGGGAGAAAGTGCGCAGTCCAATCCAACAATCTATCTCTGGAATTTCCATGTGTAAGTGGGATGTATGGAATTCTCAGTTTGGTTTGGATGCTCTTAAGCACTGTGATGGGTTTCCGCATGTGTCAGACACTCGGCTGACCAAAAAAAAATAATGTGTAGCCTTCTCCGACCCCACATATCAGCTCACACTCCTTGCTCTTCTAACCAATTTCCTGCATATGTCGCACAGCCAGCGATGGAGGCTGGTTCTTCAGCCACAACGCCTCAGTGTTCCCGTACTCCATAATCACTCTGTCCTCCCACTTTTCTACCAGTTTTCCAAACTGTCCCAAAAATACTCAAATGCTTCTTCAGTCATCTCTAAATTTCCTCACATCTTGCTGCTCTCATTAAATGCTCAATGTTTTTTTAAAAAACTTGAATGTACTCTAGAAATGCAATTACAGAGCACTTTGGTTCTATCACAACCGGAGAACGATAGTTCTTGCCCTGTGTTTTATGGCATTAAATATCAGGCCGTTATTTCTGGACAAACCAGTCAAACAGAAAATAATATTTGGTGAAGTAGTAGATCATTAGGCCAACAGGACATTAGTCGGTTCACTGAAATACACTCACTAAATCCAGACAACACTCGCTCTGGAGAAACTCCAGGAAAGAGGTAAATAGAAGTGAATAAGCAAACTAGTCAGTCGGCCTTTTAAATATTCACGCTGGCCTTTTCCTTTCTCCCGTAATCAGACACTGTGACATTTTCTATGTTGTTGCAGCATTGGAAACAAAACAACACAACAAGGCAGGTGATCTTCTCATTCACTTTAAATGGGGCCAGGTGAGGTTCAGGAAGATATAATACAATGCAGAATTACATTTGTATAGCACCTTTCACGTCGGGAAGACGTCCCAAGGCGCAGGACAGTCAGGGATTTGGACCCAAGGAGGGAGGTTGGGATCAGGGAGGGTGGAGGTCAAGGAGGGTAGATTAATAATCCTTGCATTTGATATAGTGCCTTATCACGTTTTCTAGATGTCTCAAAGAGCTTCACAGAATATACCATAAAGTGAATTGACTATATTTGTGGGAGAAGCGCGGAAGCCAATTGCGCACAGCAGTGTCCCACAAACACTTGTGAGTTGAGTGACCAAATTATTATTTTTTTTAAGGATTATCATCCCCGGTGAAGCGATCCGCCAATCGACTAACAACCGGGTTCCTACTTACTGCTTGGTAAAAAGAGGCGTGTGGAGTAAGGAATCTTGCCCAACATTTCGCCCTATTGGAAATCAAACCCAGGTCTCTCCCTTGCGAGATGAGTGCTCTAACCACTGAGCTATATCCCACCTGGAATGCATTTAATTAGTAAATTCCAAACTTGTCATTGCATTGGATTAACAGCATGCCTCGCTTGAAATGCCTCCCACCTTACCTTTGTGAGAATGAATGGGATCTTATTCTGTTCTGTGGCAAAGGTTTGAATAGGTCATGTGTTTATTTCTTAACAAATAACCATGCAACCAGAGACTATAAACTAGTTTGCTTACTGTTAACATGGGGATTCAGCTTTCAGTCATATAGCCCGTCTGTCTGTCCAGCCCTTTCCATCCCTCTGCTTCATTTAAGTACATTTATATACAGCATATAACATAAATTTACATTACATGCGTTGTTGCCAGTGTTTTGCATATCGTTTTGGATAGGATTCTTTGCGAACAATAAGTGTCTGTAACTTTCCAACGATTGAGACGTCTCAATGCAAGGAACATTATTATTATAGAATTGTATTGTGCCTGTTGTTTAAGATAATTTTCGGATGCATTTAGAAAATAAAAGTTAGGGATTGCTACAGAACTTCCAATTGTAAATTAGCCCTTGGTCTTCTTCTGCCAAGCAAATTCTTATGTTTTAACATAAAAATACCACATTCCCGTCTAATTGTAGCACATTCAAAATCTACACTTATTTTCCGAAGGTGCAGTATTACTGGAGACAAAAAGCTGCGCAAGTTACCAAACCCAACAATCAATGAATTGGACAGCTAAGCTCAGTAGCAGGACTGAATGCTTCCAACTCACAAGTTCAAATTGAGTTGAGCATTTCCTTAGTTCTTATGTGTGTATCTGCAGATATCTGCAGACTTTGCTTTTTTTAGCAATAACCAGTCCGATCCCAATTGGACTTTGGGAATATAATCATTTATATTGTATATATATATATTATATGAATAATAATAAAAACATTTTTATTATGGACTTTGGGGAAAACACTGAAGTGCAAGAAACAGTCCGAGATCAGAAAAAGCTTTTCCGTTAAAAGGGTCAGATATTCGCAGGTTAAAATCTCTCTTTACAGAACGGTTTGAAGCCTTCTTTCCTTACAGGATTCCACTTACGCTGTGCCTATCCACCATTAATTTGACATCTTACAACTATTGAGTTTCCTAATAAATTCATCTGTTGTGCCCACAAAAGTCAGGGTTTCCTGAAACGTTTTCTGTTACAATCTTTGTCACAAAGGACATTTTTAGAACATTAGATTCTAGCAAACTTGTATTAATTTTCAAACTGAGAACACAGCTATTAAGCTGTCAATCACGCTGATTTACAGAAAAGAGTATTGTAAACTGACCTTACTTGTTATTAGGGATTGCTCCAGGGCTCTTACTGTCTGTTTCACCAACAAGACTCAGCCTTCATGAAATCAGAACATCTGGAGCTGTGGAAGAGGACAGATTTCAATGCAAGCTAAGAGAAGAAAGGTTTCAGTGCATAACAGAAATTTGCAAAAAATTAATGTGGTAAAATAATTGCCGACAGTCCTTACAACCTTCAAATCTACCAATACACATTGCAGCCCCAACTCCTTACAAAAAGAATCCCTCCCCCAAAAAAAGAAAAATTGGTCACTCAATCCACGACTGTTTGTGAGACATTGCTGAGTGCTGCACCTTCGCCCACAAAATGCAATCAATTCACTCAACAATATATTCCGTGAAGCGCTTTGAAAAGTCTCAACAATGATGTGATAATGCACTATATCAAATGCAACCATTATTATTACTGCACTGCCAATTGCTCTACAATTTAACACAGTTTCTGTACCCTGTAATGGCAGGTTTTGCTAAATAAATTGAAGCCTCAAGTAACCACAAATGACCTTTGAGCCAACGGCAGGCCTGTCTGAAACAAGCCACTCACAAGCTGGTTAGAAACTACTTGGATATCTGTGGACTTTGCTTTTTTTCAAGCAATAATCAGTCAGATCCCGACTGGATCTTGCTGGATCCCTCAGTAGGTGCACAGCAAACAGCAGTCAGTCGCTTGGACACAGTCCCAGGTCTAGACTTTGTACGGGTACTACATTGTCTGTCCGTCCTACAGATAAGACAATAAACCAAGATCCTCTTTTTCCTGTTCAGGTGGACATTAAAAATCTTATGGCACAATTTGAGAAGAATTCTTACCAGTGGCCAGGCCGATAATCCCAAAGATAAAACTGGGCATTCACTTCAAGACTGTTTGTGGGACATTGCTATGCATTAATTGGCCTCAATGCTCAGTTATAAATACAGCCAGTGCAGTAAACTGCAAGAAGAGCTTTGAGACATTTACGACGACATGGTAAGACACTACATTGAATACAAAGTTCATCATCAACATCACCACCAACATCACTGGTGGAGCACGCCCACATTAAAACTGGTACAACTAATCTGCCGCACACTTTGCAAGTCTAGGGATCTGCACTGCATATTCACTGCTGTTTCCTAGCCACTTATCATTTTAGTCATTTGTACTTTTAAAGTATTAAAAGGAGCCTGGAAGTCCTCTTCCTAATGCAACTTCTTGAAATTCCTTTCCAGCAACCTCATAAGTGAGAATAACACAGACCATAATTCTCATTCACATGGGGGGAAAACAAAATCCTCCCATTCTCTCCCTTTGCTCCTTTGGTAATTAAAATTATCTCAAATTGATGCCCTCCAGTCATTGACTTACCGACCATTGGAAGTCATTTATCCCCATCAACTCTTATCAAAAGTCTATCAAACCAAAGTAATTTTACAGACCTTTATCTGGTCTCCCTTTCTCTGTTCCAATAAAAAATAAATTCAGTTCCTCCAGCTTTTGATCATACCTCAAACCACTCATGTCTGGTAACACACCCTCTCTATGGCTCCAACATGCTGGGTGGAGTGGCATACAAAAGTTCTGAACATTTCAGTGTAAGGCAGTGACATGATACAGATTTATAAATATCACTATGGTGAACGACTTGTGTTTTAGTAACCACAACATAAAACTCCTTACTGAACAGCAGAAGCAGAGAGCCTGCGATTGAAGGGAGGTAAAATCTATGGAAACATTACTTCAGTGAGGGAGTAGTGAACGTATGGAATAGGCTCCCTAGGGAGATGGGGGAAGCAGAAAGTGTGGGATCTTCCAAGAACAAATTAGATAGATTTCTGTTCGGAGACAATATCTCGGGATACCGTATATAGTTTGGGACATATTTTGGATGGTGGACGGCAAACTGGATGGACCTTGGTCTTCTTTTGCCAAGCAAATTCTTATGTGTTAACATAAAAATACCACATTCCCCTCTACCCGTAGCACATTCAAAATCTACATTTATTTTCCGAAGGTGCAGTATTACTGGAGACAAAAAGCTGTGCGAGTTACCAAACCCAACAAGCAAGGCTTAAAAGGTGCTACATGAAATGTCAAAAATACACCCGTCTGCAGGAGAATGATCACAGAGAGCGATTACAAGATTGTGATCAAATCGAGTGGTTTAAACAACTTGTAGATATGAAGCACAAATTTCTTCGGTGGAATATAGCCTGTTTGGATGTCAAGATCAAAACTATTACTATGGAAGAAAAAAACATGTCAAGGAGCCTTATTTATGACAGCAACGTGTTAAATTACAGGTTGGTTGTGTTTACTTCCATGGGCTATCAACATGCACTCCCAATGGTGCTGTGGGAGTGCTGTATTTATGAAAGTCAGCTATTGCTAACCTAAACACTGTGAAAATTAACTAGCAAGATTTGGCCGAAAGCTCTGGGGCCAGGGGCACATTATATAATAAAAATTAATGAGAAATAATCAGAGCCAAATATTCTCCCGTTAGGTGCAACTATTTACAATGGGAACAATTAGTTCTGTCGCAAAATAGGTTTCATTAATGGTTGAATTGAAGTATTCCATGCATAAAAACAACAAGGATTAGCCCTTAGCAAGTTGGTAAATTGTGGTGCATGTCACATTGAACACAATAGGAGGAGGTGTCCACACACTCCCCCTACTTCCCCAGCAAAAATAAATATAAAAAGGGGATGATATCATCGTGGAGCTGTATCTTACACAAACTGCCACATTTTGGAGTGAGTTCTGAGCTAACTGAAGACTGATGAGATGAGACATTGATAAAGATTTGACACAACTCCAATGCGTCATCAACTTGAGGAAATGGAGTTTGCAGAGACAGCTAGACATTAGTGGAAAGAGCAGACGGCGAGTCACAATACTCAGACAAGCTAACGACCTCGATTTCTACGAATCTAGACGATCTGTTCAAACAGGACTGCAAACCCACTGCGTAACAGTTGCAGGACACTGTCAAAATGCTAACAGTTTATCTTAGCAAACTCTGTTGGCTCTTTTAAACTAATTATTTACCACTCTGAATTTGCGTAAGAAAGAAAAATCTTGAATTTACACAGTGCCTCATCACATCAGAACGTCTCACATCAGTAATCGCTCTGGGACGCTACCTTGCATGACTGGCGCTATATAAATGCAAGTTGCTGCTGTTGTAATCATTGCCCAGTGTGTGGAGGCTGTTTTTTTTGTGAACAAACCTGATGTCCAATTCTGACAGCAATGCCTCACAAACAGCCCTGGGGTGAATGATCAATTAATCTGCCGGATAGTTGGCTAGGACATCTAGAAAAACTCCCCACTGTTTTCAAATAGTGCCACGTGATCTTTAACTTTCATCAGAACGAGAGAGCAAAACAAACAGGCAGACAGAACCTTGGTTTATGGTTCATGTGCAAATGTAAACGCAAGATCACGGGGCGTCAGGGAAGGGAAAGAAAATATTCATATTCAAACCACTCATTCCTATCTTCAGCAAACTGGGCAGATAAAAAAACCAGTAGTAATTCATGTCATTTACATGGACAAACCAAACAGGAAATAAGACTTCCCCCGATGACTCCAAACCCACAAATCAAAAGTTTTCATGTGCCAAGTTCAGCATCTATGTGTACTGACCTAACCTCAACACTCCGTACTGATCATCCACTTCTCGCAGGTAGTTGATTAGTTTGAGGCAAGACTGGTAGCACAAGTTTTACTAACTCGTAATTGATCAGTTGAACAATACTGCACTGTAAGAAATAGCTCAACACCATACTCACACTGCACTGAAGCCAATGAAGCATATATCTCCCACCCCCAGAAGCACAAGGGACAGTCACAAAGGAATTCAACTGTATCAACCATCTGTCGGCAAAGGCAGTCTTACGTTGTTGCTTGTGCGAAGGACTGCAAGGTGTTTTTAACACTAAGAAACCCAAGTAAAGGATCACAACTTAAAGTAAAAGGATGGGGGAAAAAGAGCAGTCAAGAAGGGTTTAAATGATACAAAGATTGGACTTTGTAGGGTGTATGGCTAAGACCACTCACCTCCCCCAATATCAGATCTGTAGTATATGACAGACTGGCTAGTTGAGTGTGGACAGACCCCATTACGATTCAGTTCAACAATAACGATAATAATACTTGCATTTGATAATAGGCCTCATCACGTCGTTGACTCACCTCAAAGAGCTTCGCAGAATATATTGTAAAGTGGATTGACTGTGTATTTGGTAGGCAAAACAAGGCAGCCAACTGTGCACAGCAATGTCCCACAAACAGTCATCCATCACAAAATAAACAATAAAAGGTATTAATGATAAGTTGGTCTAAAGCCACCACCTGCGTGTGTGGTTAGAAGTGACAATTTCTACAACTGTATCTTGCTGGGAGCAGAAACCAGCAACAATAATATTTTTGAAAATATTATACCACAAAATATGCTTGCATCCATAATCACAACCTTGTTTCAATCATCAAATACCAAAGAACCAGCTAATTTCAGTTGTTTTTCTATCCAGTGAAACGAATGTAACCAGCTAACAAAGATGAAATACTGCTCGCTCCTTCAACCCAACACAAACAGTACCTTCTAACCATGGCCTGCAGTATGCATAAAAAGCACTTGAAGTACAAACACAGAAGCAATACAGTCTTATCTTCACAAATTTCTGCTAATGGAATGTTTTTACTCAAACAGCTTCTGTGTCCTATGATCCTTTCTGTGATTGGAGTTCAGCAAATATGTAATACTGTATGACAGAGACGTTCCACTGGAGAGAACTGGAACACCTTGAAGAATAAAAATAAGTACGAAGGAAAGGAGAGGGCTCTTAACAGCATTCCTGTCTCACAGCTGTCTGCAAAAGTTTTACTCACACACACACGTTAACCGGATTGACTACAATAAATCTGGACAGAAAAATGCTTTGGGGTTTGTTTTCCCAAATTCTACCCACTTATCAAGTACTCACTGAAGTGGAGTCGACTGTACAAATTAGCTTGTATAGAAAAGAAGACCAGGGTAGTCATTAAGCAAAATCAAGCAGTGTGCTAACCATACGC